GTGGCCGAAACGTCGTGAGAATTTTATTGTCTTATTTTTATTTTATTATTTTTATTCTCATTCTACGGGACTTTACCGAAAGAACCAAAGAAGATCACTCCCACCCCGCAGACTTTGTTAGCGCCCGAAACAAATTGCGACTTGATTCAATTCATGCTACGTTCGTGTGTACGTGTGTGCGTGTGCGCGCAATGGAGGAGGGCGATCGTCCGAAACGTCGACTTTATATTTCTCCTTTTTAAAACCCGTATTATTGACGAACGTGTTGATGGAGGAGGGGGGGGGTCTAAAAACGATCAATATTGGCGTGGCAAGGCAAAACGGGGCTATGGACTACAAATGTGTGTGTATTATTACATGGGCACACATAACGAAGATTTGCTAGTGCGGTACTGTACCACAATGCTGAACGGTATTACAGTACAGTGCGATGCTGTTCCACAGCACAGTATTATTAGTGCCATAGCACCACAGTGAGACAGTAGCAGAGCGAGACAGTAACAATACAGTAGCACAGTGAGACAGTAACAATACAGTAGCACAGTGAGACAGTAGCACAGTGAGACAGTAGCACAGTGAGACAGTAACAATACAGTAGCACAGCGAGACAGTAGCACAGTGAGACAGTAGCAATACAGTAGCACAGTGAGACAGTAGCAAAGCGAGACAGTAGCACAGCGAGACAGTACCAATACAGTAGCACAGTGAGACAGTAGCACAGTGAGACAGTAACAATACAGTAGCACAGTGAGACAGTAGCACAGTGAGACAGTAGCAATACAGTAGCACAGCGAGACAGTAGCACAGTGAGACAGTAACAATACAGTAGCACAGTGAGACAGTAGCACAGTGAGACAGTAGCAATACAGTAGCACAGCGAGACAGTAGCACAGCGAGACAGTAGCACAGTGAGACAGTAATACAGTAGCACAGTGAGACAGTAGCACAGCGAGACAGTAGCACAGTGAGACAGTAACAATACAGTAGCACAGCGAGACAGTGGCACAGTGAGACAGTAACACAGCGAGACAGTAGCACAGTGAGACAGTAGCAGAGTGAGACAGTAGCACAGTGAGACAGTAACAATACAGTAGCACAGCGAGACAGTGGCACAGTGAGACAGTAACACAGTGAGACAGTAGCACAGTGAGACAGTAACAATACAGTAGCACAGTGAGACAGCACAGTGAGACAGTAGCACAGTGAGACAGTAACAATATAGTAGCACAGTGAGACTGTAGCACAGTGAGACAGTAGCACAGTGAGACAGTAGCAATACAGTAGCACAGCGAGACAGTGGCACAGTGAGACAGTAACACAGCGAGACAGTAGCACAGTGAGACAGTAGCAGAGTGAGACAGTAGCACAGTGAGACAGTAACAATACAGTAGCACAGCGAGACAGTGGCACAGTGAGACAGTAACACAGTGAGACAGTAGCACAGTGAGACAGTAGCAATACAGTAGCACAGTGAGACAGTAACACAGTGAGACAGTAGCACAGTGAGACAGTAACAATACAGTAGCACAGCGAGACAGTAGCACAGTGAGACAGTAGCAATACAGTAGCACAGTGAGACAGTAGCACAGCGAGACAGTAGCACAGTGAGACAGTAGCAATACAGTAGCACAGCGAGACAGTAGCACAGCGAGACAGTAACAATACAGTAGCACAGTGAGACAGTGGCACAGTGAGACAGTAGCAATACAGTAGCACAGCGAGACAGTAGCACAGTGAGACAGTAACAATACAGTAGCACAGCGAGACAGTAGCACAGCGAGACAGTAGCACAGCGAGACAGTAGCACAGCGAGACAGTAGCACAGTGAGACAGTAACAATACAGTAGCACAGCGAGACAGTAACGAGACAGTAGCACAGCGAGACAGTAACAATACAGTAGCACAGTGAGACAGTAGCACAGCGAGACAGTGGCACAGTGAGACAGTAGCACAGTGAGACAGTAACAATACAGTAGCACAGCGAGACAGTAACGAGACAGTAGCACAGCGAGACAGTAGCACAGCGAGACAGTACCAATACAGTAGCACAGTGAGACAGTAGCACAGTGAGACAGTAACAATACAGTAGCACAGCGAGACAGTAACACAGCGAGACAGTAACAATACAGTAGCACAGTGAGACAGTAGCACAGCGAGACAGTACCACAGCGAGACAGTAACAATACAGTAGCACAGTGAGACAGTAGCACAGTGAGACAGTAGCAATACAGTAGCACAGCGAGACAGTAGCACAGTGAGACAGTAACAATACAGTAGCACAGCGAGACAGTAACACAGAGAGACAGTAGCACAGTGAGACAGTGGCACAGCGAGACAGTAGCACAGTGAGACAGTAACAATACAGTAGCACAGCGAGACAGTAGCACAGTGAGACATTAACAATACAGTAGCACAGCGAGACAGTAACACAGAGAGACAGTAGCAATACAGTAGCACAGCGAGACAGTAACACAGAGAGACAGTAGCACAGCGAGACAGTAGCACAGTGAGACAGTAACAATACAGTAGCACAGTGAGACAGTAGCACAGTGAGACAGTATCACAGTGAGACAGTAACAATACAGTAGCACAGCGAGACAGTAACAATACAGTAGCACTGCGATACAGTACCAATACA